GCTGAAATTCTTTTATTGGTACATTTTAGGTATACAATACGTTTACATTTATCATTGGGTACTTGTACCTTTACATGATGTATCTTGGTTCTTATTTTTCCCCTCAGTCCCTGTCCTCCCTTCACCCCCTCTACCCTTCCCTATAATTTGCATCTTAATATCATCCTAAGATATTACCTCCATTTGTTGCCTTAAACCTAGAGAATGATAATTATATTTCAAAATTCAGATAGCTGATTTGCAAACATTTTGAAATTTTAACACTTACCTAATGTTCACCAAAATTACTTTTTTACTGCAATTTGAGGAAAGTAGTTATTCTGCCTTATTTGAACCTCCAAACTATATTAATATTAAGATTAATATTAATATTCAGAGGGCTAGGGCTCTAGCTCAGCAGCACAGTACCTGCCTGAAAAGCACGAGAGCCTGAGTTCAATCCCCAGCACAACAAAAACAAAAAATTAAAAAAGGAGGTAGAGTTCTTTTTTTCCCCAAGATCCCTGAATAAACTATGATCCCTTTCTTCACTTTTAGTAGTATTTTAGATTTAGACTTGTACTTAAATTTGTAGTGTGCCTATTTTAAGAATATATTAAATTTTATTCAATCTCTCGATAAGATTTATACTTAATTATTTGTTATAATGGTTAATATTTATGGATAGTAGTGTTATTATGATGATTACTTTAAGGATTATGGCCTTCCTTTAATAACTCAATACGTCTAATATTTTATTTTTAATAATAAACTTAGGATCAAGAATCGCACCCTTACTTCACCAAATGGAAATGGATATCCTTAACTGGCTTGCCTAAATTCAGCAAACATGCCCAAGTTCAGTGCTGTTTAATAAACAGACCCAGGCCTCAAAAAGTATTTGTCAAACTATGATCTAAATCAAATTTCTTATGTTTTTTATGAATAAATTTTATCAAAAAATAAATATTTGCTGAATTGATGATATACTCAGATTTTGCTTTTTCCAAAAATTTTAGTACATGAAGGAAACAAGTTATATTATTAGTATTTTATTTTTATTTGAAGAGAGTATATATGCATATCTCATATACTAAACTATGGTAATTGTGATAACACAAATATATAAATATATAATTTTGAAAATTTTCTTAGAGGAATAGAGAATGGAAAATTTAAGATATACAATGGGATATTTATGTGGTAAAAGGCAAAAAATATGCAGCACATGACCAACAAAATCAAATTTAAATAACAATATTAGACATGAAATGACTTTGATTATTTTACATTTAGTTAAGCAGGATTAGTGGACTAATATGTGACGTGTTTTTGAGAAAATACCACACAATGCAGAAAAAGAATGTGTACTCTTCCAGGAGACTGACCTGTTGATTATGCCCAAAGCAGGCTATAAGCAGTTAACCCTACAATTGGCTTGTTTTAAAAAATGAGTCTGCTGGAAGCCTATATGACTCATAGGAGCACTGCAGTGGGGTGTGGATTAAAAATTATTCCCCGAACAACATCCATAAAAGAGGCTAGAGAAATGGTCATTGAAGCTGTGGGGCTCTGATATGAGATAACATGATAGCTGAGGTCACACTGACTCTTAGTCTAAGTCTGTTCCCAGAATTGAAACCTTCTTTAACTGAAAAGATAGGTTAATTGTAAATCACAATCTATACCTGGTCTGTTCTGTTCCCAATGCTAGAATCCCTTGCTCATTCTTTTACAAGGCTTGCCTACATCAGTATTTTATCTCTAGAAACTACAGGTAGACTCCTGATCCCCATTTACTGAACAATTGTGTAACCAATAAATATCAAATATCACCGGTTCTGGCTGTTCAGGGACTTCACTGCTTACTCAGCTCTGACCATCCCAGTTCCCCATTTTACTTTGATTCCATCTTTGAGTCTTTCTTCTCACCCTGCATCATAGCCCCAAGCAGGAGGTCAGGATCCTCTGCAGAGGTCCCCAATGTACTCTGCTGTCCTAAGGTAGAATACTCTGTAGATATCTACTAAGTCCATATGTTCAAAGGTGTGGTTCAGCTTTAGTGCTTTTTTAATTTTTTGATTAGTTGATCTCTTTGCAAATGTGGGTTATTTAGAACATACACTATGATTACATTAGTATTTATTTGATTCTCTATATCTAGCAGTATTTGTTTTTAAATGATAGATGCTCCCAGTATTCAGTGCATAAATATTTGTAAACTTTATTAATCTTGTTGGATTGTTCCCTTAACTAGTATGTAGTATCTTTCTTTTGGCCTCTAATCAGTTTTAGCTTGAACTTTACACTCTGTGAGATTAAAATTGCTACCATATTTGTTTTCAGGGTCCTGATGCATGAAATATTGTTTTCCATCCTTTGAATTTTAGGCCATGAATTTTTAAATTAGACGAGTTTCTTGAAGGCAACAGACTGTTGGATTCATTTTTTTATTCAGTCTGACAATCTGTGTCTTTTAATTGGGGAGTAGAGGCCTGTAACATTGAAAGATATCACTGAGAGGTGTTGACTAATTTCTATCATTGCACTCTCACTCTTTTGGTGACTCCTTTGTTTTTCTCTTCCTGTATTTTAATTGTTTTGTTTATCCATTGTCCTTGCTTGGTGTTTCCATTCCTTTTGAGATTTTGGCTTTATTATGATATGTCTCAGTGAAATTTCTTTTTCATCATAGCTGTTTGGTGTTTTGAAAGACTCACTTACCTTGTATTTTGAACTCCTTTCTTATATTTGGGAAATTTTATATTATTTCTGTAAACAAATTAATAATTCCATTTCTGTTATTATCTAGTTTTTCTCTAACACCAATTAGCTTAAGGTTAGTCTTGTTAGTGTCATCTAGTAGATGCTGGATGATTTTTTTCATGTTACCTTGCAGTTTTTGTGTGTAGCTTCTATGGACCCTTCATGATAATTTTCCATTTTGTCTTCAATATCAGACACTGTTTTCAGACTGCTCATTTTGGCAATTTATGAATTCTATACAGATTTTTACTTCTGGTATTTCTGTCTGATACCTCTTCATGAATTCTGTGTCTTTGGTAAATTTTTCATTCATGTTTTGAACCATTTTAAACAGCTCTTTCAATTTTTTACTTGTTTCCCCCATATCTATATTGGGCATTTTGAGTGATAATTCCATAACCCTAAGGTCATGTCCTCTTTGAACTTGCCAAGTTTCTTCATCTCTTATTTAAAATTTGTGTAGAGCAATACCACATGGTATTTGCTGTCATCTCCATTTGTGCCTCCTTGAACTGCTATAGGAGTTTAGAGACTTGGGGGTCCTTCATTGCCTTTCTCATGATCCTGTGTGTATGTATATCTTTTTTATTTTTGTTTATTTCCCATCTTTTTTTGTTTTTGTACTTCAGGTTGAGGTCTAGCTAGGATTGGAATAGCTTCTACTTTATATAAAAAATTTTAGTAAGATACTCCCTCTATGTGATATGTTTTCAGCTTTATATGTTCAGAGATAGTATTTATTCCTTCAAGTGAAATGAACAGACACTTCTCAGAAGTACAATTGGGCAACAAATATAAAAAATGTTCAACATCTCTGGCCATTAGAAAATTACAAATTCAAAAATACTAAGATTTCACCTTACATTATAAAGAACAGCAATCTCAAAAAGTCCAAAAATAACAAACACTGAAGGGGCTATGGTGAAAAAGAAATCCTCCTTCATCATTGGTAGTAATGTAAACTAGTACAACCATTATGGAAATCAGTATGAATATTTCTCAATCAACAATCATTAGAAATTCCATGTAACCCAGATATCTTCCCCAAAGAGCTAAAGACATTATACTAAAGAAATACATGAATGCCACTGTTTTTAGTAGCACAATTCATAACAGCTAAATCCTGGAAACAAGCTGTATGCCCATTAACCAATAAATGGGTAAAGAAAACATAGTATCTGTACATAATGGAATACTACTGAGCTACAAAGAAGGATACATTTGAGACATCTGTAGGAAAATGGATGCACCTGGAAAATATAAGTTGAGTGAAATGAATTAGACAAACAAGCTTAAGTAGCATATGATATCCTTCATTTATGTAAGGCAAAGTACAAAGAGCCTGTTAAAGGATAGCTAAAAGGAAACAATGGATAATTTTCTTGCAAATGGGAAGGGGTCCAGGAGATCAAGGTTTAGGGAAGAGGAGGAGGGGAAGAAATAACAAGAATTAAGATAGTCCATGTAAAGAACCTAATAACCTCCATAAATATAAACATTACATGTCATAAACATGAGTTAAAAATAATAAAAACAACAAAAATGAAGATGTGGAAAAGAGATTTAGAGGTGGAGGAAGGTGGATGGGAAGGAGAAGGGGATTAAAAAATAGAAAACAGCTGAGATATGTACATTACTTACTCCACCAGATCAATGTAAACTTAATGTGCTCCAAAGATGTTCTAATAAAATAAAATAGTAAGAATAATAGAAAACAATAGGTAAATGAGTTAGAGAAAGCCTTGAAAAATATTTCAGTAGTATTTTTTCAGTTTACTATCTTGAGTACTATTGAAAAAGTAACAAAATTATATTGCAGAAGTTATATGGTCATATTAAAATCTCTTAGAGAGAAACAGTTGACAAACTCAGGTGGGAACAACCTGGAGTAAACTGAGTTTGCTACTTAAAAGTTTAGCTGTTTTGTGGCATAAAAGAGAAATAAAGCAATAATGTATCAAACCTCATATTTCAGAGTAACTGGAGATTTTTTAATATGTTCTATTTTTTTCTGTCTCTGGATGAGAATATTTTGACATAATTGTGTAATATGGATCACTCCCTAACATGTATTTTTGATGTTAAAACAAGATAATTAACTGGCTTTGGAAATAAATTGGCATCATTTTCAAAGAAACCCTGCATAATAACAAGAAAGCTATATACATGAAGAAGTAGATGAGAAGAATGAAAACAAATATAGGGTAAGGTTAAAAAAATGTGAAGGTCATGAAGATTTGTCAAGTGAACCACACTTTCAAATAAATAAAGCCTACTGTATTTATTTCAATACTTCAAAGTGTTTAAAATCTATTTCTTTTTCAGTGGTTTTAGTGTATGAAAAACTAACTTTCAGGGAAGGGAAGGTGATGGCAAGTTCCATAATATGGATATTTATTTATGAAATGTGAGAGCATCTCTTTTCTAAGCAAACAGTAAGAAAACTCGATAATCTGACACCATGATACTGAATGATTCTGTTAATGAGGTCTGTCCTTCAACTTTGTGTAAAAAAGAGGTAGCTTTTAGGTTCTACTTTCTGAAGTGCTGAAATATTCTCTTTTTCTCTTTTGTCTCACCACAAGTGGAAAGGCTGGGAGAAGATTTATTTTTAAATATGTATTTGCAACATGTTTATCATATAAAGAATGTCAGGAGCTATTCTACATAATTTGGGGTAAAAAAAGAATTTCACAGTTAAATTATAATTATGGCTGTGTAAGGCCTAGTCTTCTTGCCTGCAGGACAGTTCTGGCATGAAGAAAAACAACTGTTTTGCTTCTGGTCACAGCTGGGGCCTCAATGGTTCCGTGATGCTGTGATGCTTAAGGGCAAGATTCCATCAGCAGAAGACATCCTGGTTCTTTGAGAACTGGGTAGCAATACAAAAAGAGAAAGGTTTTACCCAGGGATGGGCAAATTTCTCATCAGTTTAACTTATCCTACCTACTGTTGTAAGAACATTGTGTTCATCTCACCGTCCTAATCAACATAAGCTCTTAATAGAACTAAGATCCTCACTATCCTAGGATTACCACCACCTTTCGAGTCATCTGATACTTCTGATTATAAGATCCTTGTCAATTTGGGATTATTGACACCCTGTGAGTCATCTGATACTTTCTATGAACCCAGTAAATAGTGGCAAGCTTGAAGTGTCTATATCTTTACCCAATCTGAGGCACTGACCTCCTGGTCCACCATATACTTAGAAATTAACAAGTATCTATTGTCTTTTCTTCTTTAGCCCTCAGTGTCCCCCTTTCTAGGCAGGCAGAGGATTGATCACCCTCCAATAAAAGAAAATCTAATTTAAGACAGCAATTAGGTCAGTTTTCCATTTCCATTAGCAAACTTTCTTTGCTGATTAAAACAATTCATTAGTCATTTCAAGTTTTATGCCAATTCTATATGTGATGTCTCCCTCTGCTGTCTCTGCTTAATGCTTTCTGTGCTTTTACTGATTATTGATTTCATATTCTTCTGTTTCTCTGTCATACAGAATAGTAGTCCTATGATCAAGGACATGGAATCTTGGGCTATCACCTTTCTGCATTTAATATAATGTGCTTAGATATTGACTCTGTAGATCAGAGTCCCTTAGGATGATGACTGTTACAGAAGTAGAACATATAACATAGTACAGTATAAAATATGGCATAAAGTGTGCCCATTACAGCAGTCAACTATAGGAAGCAATCAATAGTACTGAGGCTGCCACTTTTGTGGATTATTATATATTCATCTACTTTAAATCAATTTATTTTTAGTAGACAAGTAAAATTGTATATATGTGTAGTGCATAATGTGATATTTTGATACAGGTATATGTTGTGGAGTGGCTTGATAATGCTAACTAATATATTTCATTACTTTGCACATGTCATTATTTTTTGATTTTGACACCATTTAAAATATACTCTTTTAAAAATGTGGAAATACACCATATGTTTTTATCTACTGTTGCCACAGTGATGTACTGTAGATCTCCTGAACTAATTTCTAATGTCTAACTGAAATTTTAAAATCAATTTCTTAAAATAAAAGATAGATAACAGGAAAAGAAGAAATAGATCTTTTGCAGAAGAGAAGGCAAGTAAGTGATGGGAATAGGGGAAGGGGATGAAAAAAGAATTAAGATATGTTTATGTACATGTACTGACTCCCCTGTAAGGGATACAATCATTATGTACTTCAAACACATGTACCAATAAAAGAATAGAAAATGGAAACAAAAGAATTTAAATAATGTGTAGCATGTGAATCTAAGAACCATTTTTTAAATTCTTAAAAAAATATTACCCAAGAAATAACTACTAGAGTCCCTAGTGTCATATGACAGGACCGATGGTATTACACTCTGGGGAGGAGGGGGAAGAAGTGGAAACTTACTTTTGGAGTTATGCTCATGCAATTTTGCTTTGGGGTGGGGATTCTCTATGAGGCTTGATTGTCTTGGCTTAGTGTGAATATTCTTTTATATATTAGGAAATCAGAAAAATCAAGGGAGGGCATGTTTTTATAACAGCAGATCCTCCATTCTCTCAACATGAGTGAGAAACTTTGTCTTACAACAAGATGAGAAGGAGAAGAATAAATTTGTTTTGCTATTCAGTTTAGAGAGAATTGGTGGATCACATACTTCTGAAGGATGCATGATCTCTTTCTCAGCAGAAATTTGCTTTAGTTGCTGATGGTAATCTACAGAGTCAAGTTTCTGCTTATCAGAAATTAGCTTTGCCTCAAAATACAGTCTAGCTTTACTCCAAGATACACTGCTGAGTGCACACGGACACCCACACGGAGTCTGCCAGTCTCAAAACAGCATTGTGTTTACAACCTTCCAGCCATCCCTAAGTCACTAAGTTACTTGAGTCTGATTATATCCTCAAGACTGATTATATCTCCATAATAGGAGAATAAAGTGCTTATGTTATTTATGGTCATTTCAATGAGAGATGACTTAGCTTTTGTATTTATTTCTCTTAACTTGGGTATATGGTGCTGCATTATTGTTTCATTTATTACTTGAAGCACCTATGTCTCTCCCAATAATTTAAACCTTTCAAGCATTTATTGATGGTCTTCATATTCCCATTTAGTGTTTGCACAGTCAAGAAACACACGTAAAATTCCTTTAATCTGTCCTTATAAAATCAAAGCTCTATTGCCTTGTTTATTCTTCACAGTGCTTTCTGAAATTTACCAGCCTCATTTGGCAGGATCGTGGGAGGAAAGCAGGATCCAGACTGTTAGTCGGTAGCAAAGTGTTTGCCTTGCCATTTTGCTCAGCAATTGCAGACCTCCTCTGGGCTACAAAACAGCCCAGTTCATGTTCTCTCTTTCCAACTTTCTGCCAGCCTACAGATTCCAGATGCAGTCAGCTGGTGAGCGCCCAGATCCAGAGACAGCGTGGTATGTTTTGGGTCTGATTCGGGCTCATGTAATGTTGAGACAGTTAACTCACAGAAGGGACTCAACAACAACCCTGGATGTCTTCACTTTTTAACCAAAATGTCTCAACTAATTCAATCATCCTAACATCAATGAGGGCAGCTGGAAAAATTCTTTATGACAACCTTAAAATAAAATGATTTCCAAAATGTTTTCTTTTCTGTTGCACATTTCCCAAACCTTGATTTTTCTGATGACACACTCCTTCCATGTGCCATGTGCCTAGATTTAACTACATTAGGGGAAGATGATTATCAAGAAAAGAAGAGTTCCAAATACACATGACTTTACATCATAACACTGTGGTAACGCTTTCAAAAGGGAATGTTGTTTTGTGTTATGGTTTTGAAAGTGATTGCAATTTTTTTTTTATATTTTTGCTTCTCCTTAAAATATTTTAAAATGAAAGAGCAGAAATGGTACAACTTTTCGTTTAGTTACAGCCACTCTTACTATTGAAATTATGAGTAGAGAGATGGGGCATACAGAATGTTAAGTGGGGTATTTAAGATACGAGTTATGTGTCACTTAACAACAAAGACATGTTCCAAAAACACATGACGTCAGTCAGTTTGGTACTTGTGCAAATATCAGACAGTATGCTTACAAAATTTATCTGCAATGTCACCAGTCAATATAATCTTACGGGATCATTGTCCTGTGTGGTCTGTCATTGACCAAAATGTTGTTATGTGACACATCACTGTGTTTGTTCATTTTGAGATGTAGATTTTTAATTTAAGTGTGTAGGATTTGTTTGGTTTTTAGGGCTAAAAGGTCAGGTAACTGCTATCATTTCACATCACTATTCTTTAGGTTGAGGTGCTGGAAACTGTGTGTGTGTGTGTGTGTGTGTGTGTGTCTCCATGTTTATGTCCTCACACACTTTCTGTCCTTATTAGTTTTTAAATTCTGCTATAGCACATCAATACAGATTTGGTCTCTTAAAACACTTAGGCCTGACAGATCCAAGGTTTCAGGAAGGTGAGACTCCTTACCTGAGGCCGTAGGAAAAATTCAGACTGCTGAGTTCTGTTCCTTGCAGGATGTAGGTCTGAAGCTACGTACTCCTGCTTTGCCAATTGGGAATTGGCTATGTCTGCTAGAGTCCTCTTCCCAGATCTTGCCTCTAGCCACCTACAATTTAGAACCAGCAAAACATGGAAAAATTAGATTCTTATCACATTTGAATGATCTGTATCTTTCCTTTCTGATCCCCCACACACACCCCACCCAACAACATCCCTCTGATACCAGCCAGGGAAAATTCTCTTCTTAACACTTAAGGCCTTGTGATCAGGTGCAAGCTCTTCAGATAATTCCAGATAATTTCCTTAGAGTACATCTAAAAAGTCTCATTTTGCCATATGCCATAAGTTGTTCATAAGTCTATAGATTCAGTCATAGATATTTTACATATACTTTTCCTTGGCCTAACTGCCTCTGTCTCTGACTCCGTCTCTGTCTCTCTCTCATCAAAAAGTGGAAAGAAAATAATACATTAGGTAACAAAAACTTCAAAAGTCTTTTCCTTACCAGCTGTTCATTAATGTGGCACCAACTGGTGGTGGTGTTCATGAGAATTTTCTTCCTTCTCACAAAGTTTTTTTCCATTTCTTCTTGTATTTACCTACTATGAGTAATTGTGACGTTGATGATGTAATCATGTGTATGCTTCTCCTCTAGGTTTAGATGGGAAGAGATAGTGCATTTTTTAATACAACTTTGTTTCAGAGGAGCCACTGAGCATCCTGTCTCTTATCAAAACCTTCTCATGGCAGTTGCCCCAGGTCAGTGAGACCAACCCAGGGCTGTCATTCTGAGGGAGGGGTTGGAGGAAAGAGAGATAAGAACACAGGGGCGGTACCAGCAGGGGAAGGAAGCTGGACTCTGTTCTTTGCAAGCCCAGCATGTGGGAAACAGCTGGGAGTGTTAATTTAACCTTTGTCATCACTGGCACTGGAAAAGCACGTCCAGTTTACACAGAAACCATTCCCAAAAGGAGCTTTCACAAGGTTATGTGGAAAAACATTTGAAAGGGCTCTAAGCTGAAGCACAGCGGATTCCCTCTGTTGAACTCTCATGTGCTAAGTGATAATTAGAACCTGTAGGTACCTTTCAGGATAAAGCAAAACAAACAAACAAAATACAATCACCCCCAAAAGGAGGAAGGAACTGTATTATAATAGGAAAAATATGTTTTCCTCTAATATTTATTTATTTTTTAAAATATTGTTAGCAGGTGATACAGAAAACCATTTGAGTTAATACAAAGTATTCCATTTATAAAAGATAGGCTATGTAGAGATCCTCCTGAAATCAGTTGCCCACCTTCTCATCACATAGTAATTATGAAAATTTGTCCAGCTGGATGTATCCTGCCATATGGCTAAAATGTAATGTTTCCATAATTATAAATGAACCCACAAAGGTAAATAGCTACTGTTGGGGACCTGTAAGCAGTGAGGTGAATCCGAATCTTGAGTTTATTTCCTCTGTCAGTGTCAGTCAGAGATAAATGTTCACCTAATTGAGAAGATTCATTCTTTCTCTAAATGCCTCACTAACAGTAAAAGAGGGGATCCCTAAGATGGGCAGTGTACACTTGTTATTTTCTAAAATTATGTCATTTCTTCCTGTTTTCCAAAGCAAGGTTTCAATTTTTTTTCAGTAAGACTTCTTAGCTTATATGAAGTAGATATACTGTAAAATCTTCAGAATGAAAACACTATATTCAGATTATAGGAAAATTAAAATATATGAAAACAGGGCCAGGGATTTAGCTCAGTGGTTCTGCTGCCTGCCTCACAAATGCAAGGTCCGGAGTTTGATCTCCAGTACACAATAAATAAATAAATAAATAAATAAATAAATATATATATATATATGAAAACAACTCAACAGAAAAAACATGTCATTCCTTTATCATAAATCATTGGAAAACTACATTTAGCAGAGTCTTGTGTTGTATGATAAGATATTAGTTTGGCATTAAAATTTAAAACGTTTTTGGCAAAGATTATTTGATCTCATTCTTCTTTTGAAACCAGGTACACTGAATAATCACTATTTCTATCTCATCTATAATAAAATTTTGTGAGGTTTTTTCTTCCTGTCACTTTCCATGTGTGGAAAATTAATGTTTAATTATTTTCTATTTTGTTTGGTTTTTACAAATATGCTGAATGCTAATTTTTTCCTGTCTTTGCTGTGTCATGTTTGCCAAGTATTATCTTCATTTCTAACTAATCTTTCAGTAATAGTATTCATAGTATTAACTTTATTTTTAATCTAGGAGTTAATTTATAGGCCTGTGCTATTTTAAAATGATACACTGTATCCATCTGTTTTTCCATCCATCCATTAATACATTCAACAATGTCCATTAATTCTATTTATCTCTATTATTTTTCTTCTGAGTATTTTGTCATTTACCTCTTATTTGACTGTTTTTACTTAGAAAATATCAAATGTAGCAGTTACTATCTAAGGGCAAAGTGGCATTTCTTCAGTTATCATTTTGGATTTGTGAAACACAATTTTTAAAAACTAACTTGTTTTTGGCTTGAGGTAGTAGCTGTGCTATTCAAATAATTTATTTTGTGCTCATTGCTTCTTTTGTATGATTCTACTCTTCATCATAAATATCACTGTGTCATTTACACACTCTGCCATACAAAAAGGTAAATGAGTCATTGGTAGAAAATGGATGCACCTTGTGACCATAATGGTAAATGAACTAAATCAGACACACAAGCTTAAATATCACATGATTTCTCTTGTACGAGAAACCCAGAACAAAAATAAAGAGGAAATTGAAAGATAGGTACAGATAGATAGATCATTCGCAAAGATGAAGGGGAATTAAAGGATGGGGAGGAAAGAGGATGAACAAAGGGATGAAGAAGTGTCATGTAGGGCTGAGGATTTAGCTCAGTGGTTTCGCTGCCTGCTGCGCAAGCGCAAGGACCCGAGTTCCATCCCCAGTACAAAAAAAAGAAGTGTCATGTGCATGCACCAACTTCTCACAAGGACTATACATGTAATATTCTACACACATGTACAGTAAACTTAGATAAAAATTAAAGAGTTTTTTAAAATGTCACCATTGTTTCTTGTAAAATGTTGTGACCTATATGACATTTTCTTAGGTACTAATTTTTCCTTACCTCTTATATTTGTATTAATGCTTGCTTCACGTAACTATTTACCCTTCTGTGTTTAACTCTTTCTTTTAATATTCTTTTAGTTATCTTTTTTTTAAAGAAAAGTTCAATTTTATAATCTGATTTGAGTTTCTTAAAATAGTAATCAATCACATTCACATTAATGGTGAATAGATTTATTGAATTAATATTTCCATATTATTTTATAGCCAAATCCATTTTTATATTTTTTTATTCTGCCATTTTCTCATATTTGATGGAAGGAATTTTAAAATGTACCTGTTTACTAATTTATTTGGAATTTAACTTTGCTAGCTTTTGCATGTATGACTTAAAAGTCATATTTAATTAATATTTCTTCACCAGTATTATAAATTGAACTATTTTCTATTTACATTCTCCTGTCTTGCCACCAAATCTCAATAATTGCAGAAATAATTTAGGATGTAATCCCAACCAATGATTAATCTGTAAGTGATGCTTCCTTCCATTCTTTTTTTTTTTTTTTGGTACCGGGGATTGAACTCCGGTCCTTGTGCTTGCAAGGCAGGAACCAGAACCACTGAGCTATTCCCTAGCCCCTTCCTTCCATTCTTTAAGTATTAATATGCTATCTTACCGTTTTTTGTACCATGCTCTGATTTTCGTGTTTTTTTTTTTTTTTTTGGTACCGGGGATTGAACTCCGGGCCTTGTGCTTGCAAGGCAGGAACCAGAACCACTGAGCTATTCCCTAGCCCCTTCCTTCCATTCTTTAAGTATTAATATGCTATCTTACTAGTTTTGGAATTTATATTCACATATTTATCACCCATTGACATTCATCTATACACTTCAATGTCCATTCCTTCTACAACTAATTTTTCTCTATTTTAAAATTTTAAGGTAATTTTTTCTTTGTATGGATTACTTTTGCAAATAATATAGCCAGGTATAATTGCTTTTTGTTTCTTTTATATATAAAAAAATTTAGGAAATTACTGTTTGACTCTGTCAACATAAGGTAAATTCTCTGCTACAGAATTGTGATTTTGACTTTGGAAGAACCAGAAAGTTTTGTAAACCTAATTGTCTTTCCTTATTAAATAAATTGTTAAGTAAGCTGCCAAGATACCTGAAAATGTTTTCCTAATCCTTGAAGCACAAAACTCTCACTAAGTAAAGGGTTAGCATTTTAATTAATTTTTATGACCTTCAATGAGTTCATTTGTTCTACAATCTCAAGTCTGAATCCAGTTTGAAGAAATATTTGTAGGCTACAAATTTGATGGCTGATTTTCATCACTTTGTTCATGTTACTCCTACTGATCTCCTCTTATTCTTATATAAAGTCCCTTACTATAAATACTGATATGCCCCCAAATGGCTATAGTGCTGATGTTGAGAAGCTGTGCTTTAGTTTGAACTGAATCTAGATTTAGAAGTTTTCTCTTTTGTTACAAGTACAAGAGAAAATATTAGTTATATATAGGATAGCTCAAGTTCATCGTCGTAAAAAAAAAAAATAGCTACTTTGAAGTAACTACTAGGTTTATATCTGAGTAAGATTCCCAAACTTAAAAATGATTGCTAGGTTTTATCTCTAGAAAGTGCTCTGCAAAGGCAAGCTGATGGCCCCTGGGGAGCAATTGGCTCTTGAGGGTGCTAACATCATCAGTGATGAGCCCGAAGCTGAACGGGATATTAGAAAATGGGGTCTAATTGAAGCAATGAGATGGAGATGAGACTTTGGAGACTGACAATATCTTGTCCCCAGCCCTTTCCCTTGGGTCCTAGTCTGTGCCTCCTGGATGCCCTGAAGTGAATACCTTTGTTCCACCACACCCATCCACCATGATGTTCCCCCCTCACCTCAGGGCCAGAGCAGTTATTAGGCTTTATTTTTTATTAAAATACTTCAGAACTTGATATCTATCTCCTGCTATTAAAATTATTTGCCTCATATTAAGCCTATTGTGTGAGACACTTGGCAAGAATATCAAGGTGAACACATGGAGAGAAAGGATATGGGACTTAGGCTGCACTGCTTGCTAAGAGATACTCATGATGTGACAGTAGTTATTAGTTGTGACTTATACCCTGTAACTTGCATGATGGTAGTGGATAAACATAGGTCCTATCTTCCTCTAATCACTGGAAGCTTCAGATATTTGCCTAAACAACTTAAATAAACTACATGGCTAAGTGATTTTGCTATAGCCAGAAATACAGATGACAAAATAAATAAACATAAGACATGTCAATAAAAAGCTTTTAATTCAAACTGAAATTTACTAACTTTAAATCATTTTTAGTCTGAGTATTTTGTTACTTCATCATTAGCCTTTTTATAGAGAAGATTCCAAGAAATAGATTGTAAACTCAAGAAGGCCTTACAACTAGAAATCAGGCTACTGCATGATTTAATAGAATGTGTTGAACTGTTTGTGGGTTAAACACACATCACTCTTAGAAAGGTAAAGTCAGGTGCAACCCCACAAACTGTAGATCAAATCTCATTCCATGGCACAATTCCAAAATGGTCTTTGAATCTTTTTCCAGCAACACTGAAAGAAGAAAAAAACAAGCAAACATATATTTTCAAATATT